TTGGAGTATGCGAATGCATGCCCATATTCCTTAGTTTTTACTTCGGTCACAGCCTTTCATGAGGCAGAAATCAGAATACCCTAATGAACAGGGATGATCACGTATTTTATTGCAAGAAACGTAAATGAATTTTAAAGCATAATCAGAAAATTGAGATTGTATGCAAAATGCAAAGACGATAAAGGGCAGAATTTGACACTCCACAAGAGTCAGAACAGGTGCAGCCTTACCTGGAGGGGCAGAGTTTCGAGGCAGGAAAATGTTTAGAAATTAAGGAGTTATCATGGGGTAGAAATTTGAGCCACCGGCTATAGCGAGTTCTAGTCCGCCGCCAATTAACCACTCGGTAACAGCTCTATCCACTAACCATTTTCAGCACAGCCACCCAAGGTTTGCTGTAAGATCTTCACTACAGCCTAACCACGCGCAAGTCTACAATAGCTGGCAGACGTTGCCAAATCCAGTGTCCAGAGGGCGCCCCGGGAATTGCCAGCTCCGGTATTTAATTTGTTCAAGAAAAGGTTTAAATGGTTTATATTTATCTAATGCTCAAGAAGCTGCATTAACACGTACTATTTCATCCGTTGATGTTCTCTCGTTGATGCATTTTAACAAAGCCGAATTAACCATTAAGCAAAATGAATACGTGCTTAAGGCATCAGGGATAGAGGGCACCACAAGAAGGTTCGTGCAGCTCATGGTGAGGGGCACCACAAAAAATTCTCAATGCTGGTTTACCATTGAATGCCCATGTGTAGTTAAACCAAGACGAGAGAGAAGAAATTCCGAAAAGCAGGTATTATATATTGTAAAATGTATTATGTACGAGCAGATCTTTTAAGTTTTAGGGCTTCTGAAATTTTTGATCCGACCCTGCGTTTTTGCATAGAGAACAGCAACGAATGAAGACATGCGGACGGTGTTACAGACTTTAAGAACAACGCCACAAAGGTATAATTAGAAGCATCTATAATTAGATGCAAGCTATTTCTTTATTAGACCAGTTATTACAGATGTACAAAAGCGAAATTAAAAAATGACACAGCTACATAAAAAGCTGGAAGTTTAACTATACGTAAGAGCTCAACAACCATTTCTCGAAGTTTCGCTTTTATAGGCTATACCGTAGAGAAAGAAATTCGATTCAAATTATCATAATTATGGAACGTTGGTGTAATTTTCTTTGAGATGAGGAACAATTACCTTCTCAATTCGTAATTAAGCATCCTTGAAATGAAAAAAATGTAGCATTGAATACATCTGCTACTTGAACTGATTTTGATATCTAGTTGCTGAAGAATATATTAAATGAAATACAAAAGGCTTTTGTAAAGTGTTTTCCAAACTAAGTGTGAATTTCTGTTCAACAAGCATTACATTTCTTTTTACAACAAAATATATGCAGAAAGGTAGATTTCATTGTAAAGGCAACTCTAAGAATAAATAATAGATAAATATTTTTATTACTTGATAAGACAATGTTATATTAATGAAAGCACGTAATGCTATACTTGAATAATTAAAATAATTAAAATAATAAAAATTAAATTATTTATTAGATATGAACAATTAGAAATGAACTCAAAGTAGGTAACAAGAATAATTACTTTGTTGCAAATTATTTTTCGCCATGAAATTATTTTCAGTGAAAACGTTCGTAATAATTTTAATCATCAAAATTCCAAATTCCGTATTCAAAGTATGAAAATGAAAAATATTCAGAATATGAAAATGAGGTGGAAAAAGAACTTAGTTGTACAAGAATTTAATCCTGTATTAAATTTCGGCGTCTGACACAATGAACACAATATTCACCGATTAGTATGTTATTTGTCTGATACAAATTAATAAATATTGTGAGACAATAGGCAAAACAATGTAAAGTCGAGGAAAAAAATAGGTAAGGTTGCAAATATCATTTGTTATAGAAATTTAAATAGGAAATGACGATAAAACTTTTCGAAAATCAGTACATCAGTTAGCAAAAACATAAATTATTATTCGATTTTATTTTGTAGAAATGTAAAACATTTATTAACTGTTTTGCTAGAGAACTGGATAATGTACTGTTTGAATTAGCGTAATTTAGAAAATAACAATATTAAAATCTTTTTTGACAATAGTTCTTTCAAAAACAAATGTATAATCGTATCATCAACAAAGCTTGCTTAAAGAGTAACATAAGATTACTTTGAATAGTACGCGAAGAATCGTTTTCTTCTGTAATCACTTCAAAAGCGTCAGTTTTATATGATTCAATACTCTTTTGAACAAAAGCGTTTAAATTACATCGCTTTGATTTATAGCTATTCAATCTTTTGATACAATATTAAGGTATTCTAAATTAATATCAGTATCTGAAGTTTCCAGAAAAAGCGCGTGATTTCGTTATGATAGTAAAGAGTTAGTTCAGTGACATGGTAGTAGTCACTTCTGTTTCTAAAGTAGATAAAATGACTGATGACGCAAATTACCTTAAAAGATATGGTAATTCCAATAACATTTCGAAGTGTTTACTTTCCTTAATGAACTATTGAACTATTGAGTGAAAGAAATGCATTGGAAACTTTTCGATGAAACTAATTTTGCCAACTGTAATAAGGAAAGTTAGCATAATGAAATAAAAGAATACTATTTAACAAAGCTTCTAGAATTTATATTAAAGAAATTTAAAACAATTGTAGCTTATATTGTTTTTCTTTTCCAGTATCAGAGGTGCTTCAGAACTTGCAGTGAGACTCAACCTTACTTTCCGATTGACTATTTAGTGCAATGAAACACGTAAAATATTTTTCCCAAAGTTCGCTTACCTCGGTAAATGTCATTAATCAGATTTCTGGATCTATACTAAATGAAATTTTCGAATAAGAAATAAAAGGCGGAAAAAATCTGAAAGGTCTAAGATTTCAACGGGCCGCCCGAAAGAGTTTGTTACGGTTTTCTACGCTCTCGCTGAGGTTACAGTCTTCAAGTCTCTTACAAGTCTTACAGTCTCTTACATTTACTCTGTTAATCCATACTTTAGTCTTATTAGATTTATTATTAAGTACCATTTTCTTCACACTTACGCAACATACAGTTCAACAAAAAAATCACTAAAATTTTAACAGCTGCATGTGTTTAGATTTCCCGATGCAGCGTTAAGTGGGATACATTTTTATATTTTTTACAGCATTTTTTTCAGTTTATCGTATCATTATCCTGTTTTAGTAAGATGGTTACCAAATTTTTTTTTGCCATTTTATTTTTTACTTTATATATATATATTAACTTTATTTATTAAATATCAGGTACTTCGCACTTACATCACATAAAATTAAATTTAATAGCAAAATCACAAAATATTTAAAAACAGCGTATCTGTAGAATTCCTGACAAATTCCTATAGGTTGTCATAACGGTTTTCATATTCGCTATATTATTTTTTTTTTAAATCTAGCCGCTTAACATAGTTATCATAAAAAAAAGAAAGAATATATAACAATTTTAATGAGTCCAGCTAATGTAATTTCATAAAAATATTGAATACTTCTAATTAGACATCTCGTGATTTTACATCTTTACCTAATTCAATCCCATTAAAAAGTAGAAAAATATATTCTTAAGAATTGTGTTTATTGCTATAATTTAAATTTCTTATATCATTACTCAATAACCTTTCAGATTAAATTTGAAGGTATCTTAGGCTTTACAGAATGGCAACACGGTGTCGCGCGGAAGGTAAAAGTATTTTATTTTCGGCCGCGACAACACATTGCTTTCATACAACCGAGATTGTAAATTAAAATTGAAAGAGGAATATCTTACATTTTTTCCGAATGGCAACAGTCTTGCGCTCTAGAGATAAAAATGTTTTATTTTGAAGTGTTGCCACTGCTCACTTTCAAATTGTTGAGTTTGCTAATCAAAAACACCTTAAAGTTTTATAATAATAATAATTTAAAAAATGAGTATATCTTAAAAATTTTGGATACTCAGTCTCGCGCGCTGGAGATAAAAATATTTTTTTCTGTAGAACTTTGCCACTGCTCGCTTTGAAATCCTTGAGTTTGTTAATCAAAAATTTGTTAAAGATTTGTAAAACATGAAATCGATAATAAAACAAATTTCAAATTCAAATTAGGGCTTCCACATGCCCATTTTCTATGGGAGATTACGATATTCAAATCTTGATGGCTCTAGGTACCATTTTTTTATCACAATGCGAGAAACATACATACATACAGGTTCTTCGTTATTTAATTTCTGTAAATATAATACAGGGCGATAAGATTTGGTAGCAACAATTTGAAAAGTGATTCGCCGTTTATAGTTTTCAACGCAAAATGCGAAAACGAAATTAATAGTCCTTCAGCGCAAATTGCCCCTTTGGACTAAAAAAGTAGTTGAGCGCAAATTTATTGTTAAGTAATAAAAGGCCCAAACAGCGTGGACAAAAGGAAGATATTTAACTACTCATTTAATTTTAGAGTAAACTAAAAAAAATTAGATAGAGATTGTTTTTAAATGTGTAATTTTTTATTTCACAATAAAAATGTGCATTCTTTGTAAAAATATATTATATTTTAATAGATATGAAACATCAAATATTTAATTACAGTTGCGGAAGTTAAAAAAATTACAATCAAAAATTAAGGAAAATGGAAATTTTTTAAAATTAAATACAATTTTAATCAAATTTACTAATAAATTATAAATCTGACAGCTAAATTGGATGGCAAATCTACCACGATATTCTTTAGTAGTGGTATAAATTGTTACAACTTTTAATAAAAAATTCCTTAACCCATTCAAAGATATCCTTTGAGAGCGATAATGCACGAAAGAGTAAGATTACCTTTGTCTTAATATTTGACCATTCAGTTCTCTTTATCTTTCTTGCGAGTGCCTCAGATACCAAAGTGCTTCAACTGATCAAGAAAACAATGTAAGTTATCGTTGATACTTCAGCAAAGTGATTGTTCTTGCACTCCAAAGCTCATTGTGCATTCATGTTTAGAACAAATACTATTTTCCAGATCGCAAGAAGATGTTTGTGCTTCCGAATACGATGTAAAATTCATTGGGTTTGGAACAAAATGTGATTTACAAAACTACATCCGTGTGTATGTAAATTATTGCTTAGTTGATGTACTATATGAAACTTTTATTCTTTGTTTCAACATGTGTCCAAAGATTTCCAAATACGGCAAGCCTACAGAAGGCAAAAAGAAAATATTTTTTTTGGTTTTGCCTCTCGTGGCATTATGCATTGGACTTTATCAACAGAGAGAGATAGCGAAGGAGGAGGACATTGGGCAACCTTTACCGAGTGCAAGTAAGTTTTAAAAAACATCTAATTTCTTATCCTAACTTCTCCGTTGAAAATATTTGAAATTCGGGGAAAAATTCACTTTTTGTCCTTATCACGTCTGTGCCTCAATCACTGTTCAAATTGTTACCACCAAATTTTTTCACGATGCATTATTAAAAAAATTAAATAGTAAGGAATCTGAATGTATGTATGTTGTGAGAAAACGACGACTTATAGAGCCACGAATTTTAAATACACATAGTCATCCATCCTAAGATGAGAACCTCGAAGTCCGAATTTTGAATTTGTTTCTTATTTATTTCGTATTTTATTCAAACTTAACCGATTTTTTGTTTAACAAACTCAGCGATTTAAAGGCGAGAAGTAGCAACTGTGTCCAAATAAAACATTTTTATCTCCAGCGTTCCAGACTTATGCCATTCGGTAAAATGTAATATCTTTCAATTTTAAACCAAAATTTAAATTTTCCAAATTTAAACAACATATTAGGCTTATTGAAAACAACGTGTTACTCTACCTCAAATAGAAAACTCACTATTTCCAAGCAAAAATGTGCTGCCGTTCAGTAAAACGCGAGATATTTAACTTTCAGATTTAATCTTTCTGTTACGGAGCAGCAAATCAAGTGACTAAAAAGCAATAAACGCACTTCTTAAAATTATTTTTTCTACTTTTAATCTCATTGACATAAATAAAAAGACATTTAAACAATGAGAAGTCTGATTAGAAATATTTAATATTAGTATGAAATGACACTAGCTGGATTCATTAAAATCATTGTATACATTTTACTTCCTTGTACGAAGTAAAAAGGAAGTATTGTAATCGCGAAAAGTTTCAGGCAGCATATTTCAACGAAAATATCCATGTTGATCGCTATCGAATGCAATTTTAACGATGTTTTTGCCTGATATCTGTACGTAAGGACAGAATAAAATACTCTTTTCCTTCAAAAAAATTATAAAACTGCTTTAAATTAATTGAAGAGAATTTTCGTGGCGTCTGTACGAACGTATGTACGTACGTATCTCGCATAACTCAAAAACGAGTAGCCTTAGAACGTTGAATTTTGTATAGGAACTGCTATAACATGTAGATGTGCACTCGTATTTTGTTGCAATCGGCCGCACCAAACGTATATAAAATAAAAAAAAAAAAAAAAAAAAAAAAAAAAAACAAAAAAAAAAAAAATATATATATATACTCTTTACCGGCTCGTGATCTCAGTTTCTTTACTGTTATATGTTGTAAATTGTACATTTTTGCTTTAAAAAGATTAAATTATGTTGTTTTATCTTCCGGTTAAGGAATTTATGCCTGTAGTAAATCTTGTTGCAATATTTAGAATTATGAGCAATTTAAGTGTTAATTGCCTCTAAGCCTGTTTTAATGCAGCCATTGATGTTACATTTGAAAACAGGAACTAGTGGGACTAGTGGATAAATAAAGTAGAGGCATATAAATAAATAAATAAATAAATATAAATAAGAAAAAACTAAGAAGAAATCTGAAAGCTTCAGATTTTATATTACGCCCAGCGAGGTTTTTTTGTTTTTGTTTTGTTTTGTTTTTTTTTGATATTTTATGTATTACCTTTAGTTATTAAATATCTTGTTCTTCGCACTTAAATCATGAAATATAATAGTAGATGTTTCAGTTGTTCTCGAATAATGATATGGAATGTTGAATAAATGCTTCTGGTAAATCAAGTTTTATTTTTCAAACATATGTAAATATGCTTTTCGACACTTTTAAACTGTTAAATCTTGTAGCGGCGCAATTACATAATTATTCTTAAGTGTTTATTTTATGCTATTTATAGTCATATTGTTATTATTTTAAATGCTATTTATATAAATATAAATGCGCATTATTTATCAATTTAATATTTTTAGAGGAAAACTAAATTGGCAATACTGTATTTTAAATTTAGTTTCGGCAGCGGTAAAATGTTAGCTATTTGCAAGTTAGAGATTTCTTGCCTAATTCGATAGCCAAGTACATGTGAACCCGAAGCCAGCTCAGATTTAAAAAAATAAGAAAAAGTGTCTCATAAAGACTCACTTCACGCAAATATTCCAGCTGTCTCCTAAACTGTGATGTTTCCTCCTTTTTCAAGATTATGAAGCCAGCTCAGCCTCCTTACTTCTGACCTTGCTTATATGGGACTATTTTCTGGACTTTAACTCCAGTCTTAGGCTCTTATTTGGAAGTGCCTGAGGTTTATTCTCTCTCTGCCCTCTCTTAGAGGTTTACTCTCTCTCTCTTTGCACCTCATGGGGAGAGGACAACAGGCCTGTTATTACGCTCAAACTGTTATTGCGTGTCTTCTGGAGGAGAAAATGTACTATTTGTACACCACAGCCAAGACCTGAAAGGAGAAGCGACATAATTTAAGTAATTATTATCAAGTTGCATAGACATTCAAGATCCTTGACGGAAATACACTGAAATCCTGTATTGCTGCAAGTGTACTGTATATCATAAAAATTGGACTCCATAAATTATAGGACTACTTACATCCTTTTCATAGAATCGCATACTATGTCAGCCAACTATTATACGAACTTTTTCTGAAATATGTACAAATATCAAAATAATAATTCACAGAAATATTGATATACTATTTACAAAATAACGGGCTGGACAACGTGAAAAAAATATGCGCGTTACTAATTAAACGCTATATAGGACTAAACAATGTACTTCGCAACAGACAGTTGTGAGTTAAGAGCTGTTATATGCTGTGCGGAAAACTTAAATATTGTTGCGCTGTACGGGTTCGGGGATTTGGAGTTGATTGATGACAACACTTGATGAAGAATCAAAACATAATTTTATTCGTCAGTATAGCACAACACAGTTCCACAGACGCGTTACAGTTGTCGAGAAACTACGACAAACACTTTAAAACAATCAGCAACACAGTCTTTAGGCTATCAGCCTATAACTGCGAAAACAGCTTCACGGCAAAGCATTAAAATACAGCTTCCGACTTAGGCGATCGCTCTCAAGCTAAACTCTGAACTCTGCTACTGAAATCAAGCTTACTTCGCGTACAGGGAAGGGTATATATAGCATTTGACTTGCCTTCGAGAACATTCTCGAGAAAACCGATAAGAATTTATTCTGGAATGTTCTCGTTCTGTCTATGGCATATCGCCAATTTTGTATCCAAATGTGGCCAAATGGGTGATTTCGTGTCAAATCTGGCAACCTTGCCTTTCCTTGCCACTTTCCGGCAACCTTAACCCCGCTTTGCGGAGAAGCTATCTTACCGCAGCTGGGCATTTTGTAACAATATTATCAGCATTAGCGTTATTGTATGCAGTTACCTTGAGAACTTATTTTAGACCTTTTCATTTTCCACTAGTCGAGCTCTTCAGGACTGAAGATTATTTTCAGAGGGTTCTGAGATATAAATGTCCAGTATTAGGTTTATAAGGCATTTCTGTCGCCTTCTTAGCGAGCCTTCGTGGTGTAGTGGTCTGCACGCTCAGCGCGTAATTGAGAAGTCCACGGTTCGATACCCGGCGAAGGCGTTGCATGTTTGTCATCTTTCCTGCTTCCAAAAAATACCTAATGTCTTTACAGTGGCGCTCGAACTAAAAGGGTGTTGGATGATGATTCTCCTCATTCAGGATTTGGCGATTGCGTTTTCTAAAAATCCCAGCTGCCCTTTAAAAGGAGGAGTATATAAGGTATTTCTCCCGCATTCTTAGCAAGCCTTCGTGGTGTAGTGGTCCGCACGCTCAGCGCGCAATTGAGAAGTCCTCGGTTCGATTAACAACGAAGGGGTTGCATATTTTTCATCTTTCCTGCTTCCAAAAAATACCTAATGTCTCTACAGGATGCATGTAAGTAATGTCTCAAATTATCTACTTTATCACAGCAGCACTGGTGTGAGACTCTAAGGTCGAACCTATTAAGCCGGTGAAGGGCAGTGTTCAGTGTACAGTTGGGTCAGCATAGAGATTTCCGATTTTGGAGCTGACGAGACTAGAGCAAAATGGATGATATACTCCGCTGTCTCTGTAACCCATTGCCTTTGCTAGCTGTTGTCTGCATTTATTTTGCGTTTTGTGTTCAATATTGACTCTGGCTTGGGAATATAGCTTGTAACAGGAATGTGTATGTTGTAGCTACCTTTGCCAACTTGTCTGGCTTTTTCATTTCCGCCATTTCATTCTTTTTTCTGTGGTTTACTGTAAAGGGTTACTGTGTGTAAGAGATTAACTGTAAAGTGATTTATTGTGTGTAAGAGATTAATTGTAAAGTGTTACTGTATTACAGGATAAACCATTCCAGAATCGCAATTTAGTAACAGCATCTTGACCACAACCTTGACAACCAAATTTTGACCACAACCTTGGCAACCAATTCTTGACCGCAACTTTCTCGATCTAATCAGGTAACGTCTAAATCGGGAGGATTAATTATAACATCTGCAGTTTATGTGTTTGAAGTCCTAGCTATTTATAACAGAGTTTCACCATACCACAAATGTTTCGAGTATCCTTTAAAATAAGAATACAGTTAAGTTGGCTTATCATGCGCGTTCATAGTCCTATCCGAAGTTTATCGTTTACCAGATATGGGTTTAAATTGCTTTGATTGTTTTCTTTTTATCTCGCTAACGTCAATGATTGTTTCTTTAAGATACGTTTGCACTTCTTACTTACGTTTTATGTTTAATGTATTGCATAATATTAGATGAAATAAATGCAAAGCTACTGCTTGGTAATTTCACTTTCACTGATGAGATTGGGTAAAGGCCAAGGTACAGTGTACAGTGTTGATTTCTTCAAACGATCAAGGCAAACGAAAGAGTTCGACGTACAGGCTTATCCAAAAGTCTTAAAAATTTGCATTTTAATGAATTTATGATATAAAGTAATGCACTTAATGCAGAAGCGCATGATATTACTTTTTCTTCTTCTTCTTTTTTTATTTTTTTTTTATTTGGTATATTATAACTGTAATTACACCTATCAGACGGCGTT